CAACAATCGCTATCACTTGACTTAAAATATTTTTGCCCTTCCTTGCCTTTAAAGGAGTGTCCTTTGCCGTGCTGATGTTGCTACATGCCTTACTTCTTGCCTATCTCACACTGCGAATTTTGTCTAAGCTTTATACTAAACATTAAATCTGTTACGAAAAAAGAACTAAACAAAATGAACACAAAACAATCAGCTTTAAAAAAAAAGGACTCGTAACTGGAAAAACCGAATGAAAAAAGAATGTTAACAACAAATACTTTTTCACACCCAACCCAGTTCTGCGGAATCAGAATCAAAGTTGAGTTTAAGCAAGCGAATGAGCCAATTGGAGTAAAGTGCGATGCAGATTTAAAATTTTTCTAACTTGTGACGAATGCAGCTATCGATTTTTTTGCATGCTAGTTAACATTCGTGTCAGTCAGCTGTTGGCTCTCACGCTGGCCAATAGAATCTTCGTGCTTATGCGTGGCAGCCAGCTATTGGCTCTCACTCTGGCCAGTACAAAATGGCCACAAACTACATGAAAACTGTTATACAAGCATGAAAAATCGATTATTTCCACTATCGATAGGAGTTGGGAAATGCAAAGTCGGTCTTGGCATTCCTACTAACTTGGAGCATGTGCATGTAAATTTTGGTGCAAATCCGTCGAAAATTGCGGCCGTGCATTCGTTACACACACAAACACACACACACACAGACACACAAACACACACGCACGCAAGCACACACGCACACATTCTGCCTTTTATAGATAGAGATACCCTGGAGTTTTGTGTTGTGGTCTTATTTAAATATTATGCTTCAGCACTGGTGTCGAACCTGTGAAAATATCTGCATTATTCAAAACATAAAATGAAATGAGAAGTGATTAATGCTTCTGTCCATCACTTAAGATTTGAGGCACCATTATTGAGTATATTTTTCTAATTCGCAAATCGTCGTTTAGAATGTCATGTTCACTTATTCTGCTCAGAGTCCCGTATATAACCTTCGATGTGAGAGTCCAGAATTCTATGTTTTTTTAAGTTTTAGAATTACCCTGTCTTTCCTCATCCTGAACGATTTCTCGTCAATCGTTTAACCGAATGTACATCTTAAAACAACCGATGTTTTCATAGATTGATATTTAATGAGGCCAATTTTCTTATAACTTTTACTAATCTACAAACATAACAGGGTAGCAATCCGCCTCTCCAGATTCGTTTGACACATTATCGCAAAATGTATTGCATGAGCACATAAAACTTCCTCTATGGCTCGGCCACGAATAAATCTTAAGAAATCCGAAGTTGAAACATATCCTCATGAGACCGTATAAAAATCATTTTCTGACTCGATACAACTTCGACCCACTATTGAAAATTAAATTTTCACAACGAATAGTGTAAATAGTATGTATATATATATATATATATATATATATATATATATATATATATATATATATATATATATCGAGGATCAAACAAGAGTTACCTGTATTTAAAACAGGAATTTCTTTTTTAAATATAGTATTAAATGAACACGTATATCATTCTGTACTGCTTGGCAATGAATTGACGGTCTCGTTTTGTTTTTTGTTTTTTTAAAAGAGATGATGGGTCATGTCCCAATATATATATATATATATATATATATATATATATATATATATTGAATTCCAGTCGAATCCATTACATTCACTTCCGTGCTAATGCCATTGGGAAAGGTATTAATCTTCTACTTGTCCTTCCAACTATGGCTAAATATCAGGACAGACCGGGTTCTATAGTCTTCGATGGAACCGACAGCCCAGAAACCAGCACATATGATTTGATTATAATGAGAAAGCTTTGTGCAGATCCAACCACACATTTTGAAGGGCGGAATACAGAGACCTGGAGAACTACGTGCCTTAAGGTCACCAAAATACCCTCTACAAGTTTTGAATTCAGAGTTTTCCTTCTCCTATATCAGCGGTCATCCAAGGCTATAGAACCCAGTCTGTCCTGCTATTTAGCGATAGAGGATTAATACATTTCCTAAGGGTATTAGCACGTAAGTGAATGTAATTTACTCTACTGGAATTCGGACACATCTCTCTGATGATATATATATATATATATATATATATATATATATATATATATATATCATATATATATATATATATATATATATATATATATATATATATATATATATATATATATATCAAATATATATATATATATATATTAAAATAACTATTTCAATTTTAACTATATACATTTCCACTTAGATACAATTAAAGTTTCGTTCTTTTTGCTGACGCAAAATGTGTTGTGTTGTAATATCGATTATAGAACGAAATTGACCGAATATTTTATGTTGAGTGTAACAAGCAAAAAATATACAGCATGATTGAATTCTCACAATTAAATGTATATATATTATTTTTATGCAATATTCCGGTGTCTTTCTTTATATAGCGAACGTACTTGAAGGAAAATGTCTTTTGGCTAGAAAATGTTATCAAATTTAAATAATCACGAACAATTTTCTCTTTCTCACTATCAATCAGTTTTTCGGTTTCTGTTGCGATTCTACAAATGAAGAATTCTCCAATTGAAAACTTGCCAAGTTACATATCATAATTTTCCATATAATTGAAAGGTAAAAACAAACACTATCCATAAACAAATATAAAAAACAAAAGAAAACAAATTAAAACAGTTCGCTAAAAAAAATCCATTTGCACGAATGAAGACTAGATATCTCTAGAATGTTTTTTTCATTTGATGCCTGAAGAGAATTAGGATAATACAAAGCTGAACGTATTAGCATGTATGAAATATATTTACGTTTTTTCTCTTATCTTTCATGTGCGTTTGTATATTTTGTAAAATACCGTAGTTATATATCTATGATGCCACCAAAAAAAAAAAAAAAAAATAATGGAAGATACCTCTTCACAAAACGGTAGACATTCCTAGCATTGAAGTTGACATAAATTTAAGCCATCAGCGGTTTTTTTTCAATCTGCGTCGAAACTAGAAACAGAGGGATTATTCCTGGCTGCTCAAGATCAAAACCTTCAAACATCATACTTCCAGGCACATACTTAAATGAATTGGACAGTCCCAAAATTTTGTTTTCTTACACACGTTGATAAAAGTATTAACTATCTAACATCAGGATGTTCTAACCTATCCCTAGTGAATTTAAATATAGACATGGAAGTATAGTGAAAACTGTGCATGGGAAGATATGCCAACATTATAAAAGGATAAATGTTATAGCAACCAACCACCAAAAGAGAGGGTTACTATGCCCTAGGAGATCAGGTAAAACAACATTATACAAGCAAAAATCTAAACATAACTAGACAAGACATTCTGACACCATCAATGCTTTCTCATTGATATGGCCATTCCGTCGATTAAAAAGCATTTCTGTTTTAGAAGTTTACTAACCTTTAAATTGTAATGATCATGCAATTGAAATTCAAAGAATGTGACGTTTAAACAAGACCACTCTTCTAAATAATAGCAGGTGTATTAGCAATGATTATAAATAATTGTTATTTATACATTAAGAAAATCGCAGAAAACAACTCACAATTTGCGATACAAAAGACTGTGACCCTGAACACTATTCGCCTAGTCAGCGAAACAAATCTCTATGGAATATGCTTAATAAAATCATAAGAGAAAAAACTAGCTTTACCCTAGTTATCAGGTAAAAGAATTAGCAATGGATTTTATCAAGGTGCAACTAAGTATGTCTAGAAATAATAATAATAATAATAATAATAATAATAATAATAATAAAATGTGGCATATGGGAACATCAGCTATAAACTGTTGTAGTTAGAACCCTCGGATTGGTTGGAAAAGATTCCAGTAGATTAAATGAAGGGATTCCTGGAAGCCCATGCCTTAAAGAAATACAAAAGAAATTGTTCTCGCGAGTACAGCCCACACCTTACGAAGACCTTTATCTATGTATTTTTTTTTGTGTCAGTGGAAAATATCATGATGCCATTTCTAACCTTAGGTCTCTGAGCGTGACCCGGATCGAAGTGTGTACACACCAGAAATCAAACGAAATAATAATAATAATAATAATACCCACAGAAATAACAATGTAGCGATATATGCGCACTGAAATATATGTAAAAAGCACAAAATCGAAACCACTGAGAGATGGTATGAGCACCAACCAGACATTGTTATCCAAAATAATGATGTAAATATTCTCTGGTACATGCCAATTCAAACTGACATGGAAATAAAAGCCAACAGACCTGATATTAACATAAAAGACAAGAAATCAAGAAAGTTTATGCTTATTGACGTAACAGTAGCATCTGAGAGAAACACCTCCATGAAAATTATCGAAAAATTAGAACTAAAAAAACCGGGAGATCGAGATAAACAGGATGTGGAGAATGAAGACTGAGACTGTACCAATAGTAATCGGAGCACTGGGCCTCGCGAAAAAAAGGAATGGGCAACTTTATTAACAGTGTCCCAGATAACATCAACATACAAGTTGCACAACTAGAAACATCACATATACTAAGAAATATACTATCAATTAAGTAACAATTCTATATGACCTAAGAACCATACTTTGGACCTGGCTCTACAGAATACAAATCAGGAAACATAATATACCAAATGATAATAATAATAATCAACAAAATAATGCTACACCATTTCCCAAAAGTTGTGGTGTAATGGTTAACGGCTCCTAATGAGAAATCAGATGTCCGATTTCGAATCCCAGTCGAGGTCCTTATATTCATTTACGTGCAAATATCCTTTGGAAAGTACGAATCCATCTCTTATCCCCGAGCTATGTATCCTATGCCCTTGGTTGTCAACCAATTTATGGCTAAATCCAACGGTAACATCTTCTGTCTAGTCAGTCATGAATCGAGAGACATGATCGCCCAAGCGCGTATTCTGTATGACGTTTAAATGATTGAATTATTTACATGATGTAGCTGAAAGGGAAGGGAATCATTTGCAATGACTTGTTCATCATCTCAGTATAAACGTTGCTCAAATCTATGTAAAATGCTTGGAAACATTTGCTAGTAAACGTTATCAATTATTCCTGTCGGTCTCGATAAATTCACTTAGATGCAAACACCCTTGGGAAATGTATGAAGACATCTATTCTCCTATGGGTTGAATAGCAGGTCAGACTGGATCCTCTAGCCTTGGTTGGCAACCAATTTACCGCATAAAAAACGGCAATCTACTGCAGGAAAATCTTCTGTTTAGTCATTAATCGAAACAGATATGATCACTCATGTGTGTATCGCGTAGGGAACTTTTTGTCTGAACTCTAAGAATCATAATTTGTGAAAAGCTATGTCCATTTGAGCTTTTTGTTAAAATCTGGTTTTTGATTTTATTCAATTAAGTGGAAACAACAAGAAATCACAAACTTCTCTTGTTTTATGGCATTCATTATCCCTCGGTATGTGATTCTGAAATATATACTGGCCCAAAATAAGTCCGGGGAACACAACGACAGAAACGTTGTGATAACAACAGCAAAGATGAGGATAATAGTCCGCATGTAAATAATGACATGTCGTAAATCTGAATAACCACTGGAAAAGAGCAAAACAACACTTCGAAATCTTTTGAGATATGATTACTTTGAAAAAGCCGATACATAACATGTAGGATATTTTAGTAGTAGTAGTAGTAGTAGTAGTAGTAGTAGTAATAATATTAAGAAGAAGAACCACAGCCCACACTTTTACAAAGGATATATATATATATATATATATATATACATATATATATATATATATATATATATATATATATATATATATATATATATATATATATATACATACATATTGCAGTGGAAAATGTCATGATGCCATTTCTAAACTAAGGTCTCTGGGTGGGACCCAGAAAGTAATGTGTACACACCAGAAATCAATGGAAATAAAATATTAATAATGACACAGAACAAAAAACATAACATGCACAAATAATAATAATAATAATAATAATAATAATAATAATAATCAGAAGAAGAATAACTATGTTCATGATAGAATAACGAAGTAATCGACCGCTACCATTAGAAATTTCCAGAAAAAACTGGAATTATTCTTTTATATATATATATATATATATATATATTTTTTTTAAAGCAATGTGCTTCATTTTTTAATGTCACATATTCTTATGACTTTGAATGTTATATTTAGTGGATAGTTGTGCTTGAGAAATGTGGATAAAGAAAACATGATTCGAACATGTGTCCTTCTTTCCAGGAGAAACCACCGCAAGATCCGGCTTGCTTTGACAACTTGGCTACAGAGAGCTTAACTGTAAAGTAAGGTTTCTCTTTTCCGTAATGCCCATTTAATCGTCCAGATTTTTATCGAAACCAATATCTATTTTGTTTCGATATCCGAAACGTTAACAAAGAAATTTTTAATGATACAATCGATTTAAGTTTTTAATTCGACATATTTTTTTATAAGAAAATGTGAAAAAAAACTAAACGGAACGTCTACTCAAATACAGGTATCCTCTGAAAATAAAGTTTCTATAATAAAAATCTTGTTGAGGCATAAATTGTAATTTTCTTTGTTGGAAATCAATTGCAATAACAAAAACATCTTCGTAACGAACGGTTCCTTAAATAGTTAATAACAGGTGAGGAAACGTGGGTTCTATGCAACATTGTTCAACTCGAAAGAAGTTGATTGAAAAAGGCTATATTTTATTTTTACAATCGATCACAAAATGTGAGCTCCTTGGAAGAAAGGAAATGTTCTGTGGGTATGATGTGGTCGTAAGGCTATTATTCATTTACATCCTTAAAACTGGAAATGAAAATGTTGTCTTTGAGTGAACTGTTCCCCCCTTCCACCCGCCATATTGAACTGACGTTACACAACATTCAACGATCGCTACAAAACGCTTTGATGGCGAAAAAGATCTTCTCGATGTCATCTGTTTCCAAATCTCTATTTACAATGATTATACAACTATTTACTCCTACCTTAATATTAAGCGCAATAAATACGACAATCAGTTGTTAACTGGACCAAGAAATGGCTTGTTAATTATAACGCCTCCACAAAGAAAATTATTATTTTTTAATCATCATAGAGATAAATGTTCGCCTTCCATCAACATGGCCGATTCTAACTTCTAGTCATTGTGCCATCTTTGTTTCAAATTTTCAATAGAGATGAAGCGGAATGATTGTATAGAATCAATTATTATGCATGGTGATAGGAAAATTGATTCCCTGTGACATGCCAGACGATGTATTCGCTTAAGAATCCATGTTGCACCTATAAAATCTACAATTCGACAGACCATTCAGTATTGCTGCCATATCTGTTCTGGTGCTCTTGCTCGATATCTAGAGACTGTTGATAAAATCCAATGAAGGGTCTGTAATGTTATCGATCCTGACCTGGCATCTCGAATTTTGCACCTCCATGACATGACTTCCTTCTGTGTTTTCTATAAATATATTCCTGACAATTGTTCTAATGAGCTCTCCTACTTGGAACCTAGGTCTCATCACTTTGCTGCATAATTAGCCGTAATTTCTATTCCCTTTCTCGCACTTCTCGTCTATCGAACTCCCTTCCAGATTCAAGCTTCCCTTCCACCAAAATTCTTCAAAGATTTAAACGCAATATCAGTTTTCTATCTTTCTGAAAACTGTTTTTTCTTTGTCATTTCTCCATACTAAATTTTCTCATCCTCTTTCACTATCATTTATCCCTTGTGTCTTAGTGTCATTATCAAGAGTTCGTCGCGAATTTCTTGACATCAAAATATGCCGTATTTTACACAAAAGGAATAGAAGTGATGTCACCAGTAGAATTAGTACAGCAAAGATTCGTCTTCTCACCGGAACTGTTCAACCTATACAGCGAGGCAATTTTGAGTGAATTGAACACGCTACAGAGACTTAGCATTGCCGGCTACAATCTTCACAACATAAGATATGCAGATGACACATTACTGATAGTAGACAAGGAAAAGAAATTACAAAACCTCCTACAGAAGATGGCGACGAAGAGTGTGAAGAAGGGACTAAACATAAAGTACAAGAAGACAGAATGAATGGTCATCAGTAAAAGGATGAGCCCGAAATGCGATTTGCAGGTCGGGAACACTAGAATCACTCAAACACGGAAGTTTAAATATCTGGGAAGCATCTTGACAAAGGACGGTAAATGCGACACTGAGATCCATAGATATATTGCGATGGCTAAAGACGCATTCCAAAAACTGGGCAGAGTATTGCCATACAAGAGGATTTCTTTGGTAACGTGGAAAATAATACTCAGCTGTTACGTGACATCTGTGCTTTTTACGGCAGACAATGTTGGACGATTTCCTCAAAGATGAGGAAGAGACTAGAGGTGAGGTGGGTGTGATTCTACAGATGGATGTTAAGGGTATTATGGACCGAGCGTGTGAGCAACGATGAGTTTTTAGAGAGGTTGCAAACAAGGAGGAGGCTTACACTTAACATCAGGAAGAGGCAGCTGAAGTTTTTGGGACACGTAATGAGAAAGGAGGGCCTAGAGAATTTGATACTCACGGGTCGATAAGACAGACAAGGGAAAACAACGCATGACATACCTAGCGGCCTTAAGCAAGTGGATGACAGAACGTGGTCTCTGGGAGGTGGCAAAGAGAAGGAACTTGTTGGGAGCTGCAAGGGATAGAGGGAGATGGGGAGCCATGATCGCCTACGTCCTGAAAGAACATGGTCATATAGAAAGTAAAGAACAAAGTCTCCCTGCAATGGTGAATGTTTAATTGGATAAAATATAATTGTACCTTTTTTTTTAAGAATATATATTTAATAAGCAAAAAATGGAAATTATTTATGACTCATAATGTAAGCGTAATACATTCAAATCGAACAGTGTAAATTCTATATTTTAATGAAGACGACCTTTCCATTTTATGCACTAAGAATCCGTTTTTCTGCTTGAACGATTTGTTGTGTATAAAACTGTTCGTCATTTAAACAACGAAATCTATTTTCAAAAACAGTTGATTAGACGTTTACCAAGTTTTGATCGTCATGATCTAGAGCAATTTTAAGGCAAGATATTTTCCAAGATTGCAATATATTGTAAAATGTTTTAAAAGAACACTTTTACCCAAACAGATAATGTAAGCGGATTAATTTTTCAAACGTTTTGGAATAAAAGACTGCAACAAAAGCGAAGAAGAATATTCTAAAAGGAATAAAAAGAAAAGACGTTTTGTTTTTAACAAAAAAAAAAAAAAGTTAATCGCAAACGCTTTTTGTTTTAGGAAATTCCGTTGCAAAAGGGGATGATTTTATTTAATTATTAAACAGTGAACAAATTTCAGGTCAAATGTTTTTACGATTTTTAAAGAATTTTTTCTTAGTTTCATTCCTTTATTTGTTACGTTTTATTCCATTCCATTTTCAGTTTTCTGCGTTTATTTTTGTATTTTTAAAACGTTTTTTTAGATCTTTTCATTTGCTAATTCCCGCTTTGCTTTTTGTTTCCCGCTTTTCTTGAATTGAAAATTTCATACAGATTATTTCCTTTAGTCTTTCGTCGTCCCTCTTCGATATCCTTTTACTTTTTTTTATTTTTCATTACTTAATCTCATGTGTTATTTACTTGTTTTTATTAAACGACAGATCTTTAAAAAAAAATTTAGTCTTTCTTTTTGTTTCTTGCTCTTTTTTGCACTATTTTTCCAGTACTTTCCTTCTTTCTTTACCTTTTTTTTTACATTTCCTTTCTTTATTGCCTGTTTTTTTTTATTTATTTCCAACATTTTTCTTTCTTTTTCTTTCTTTCTTTCTTTCTTTCTTTCTTCCCAGCTTTTAATTTAGGACACGTTATTTCTTTCTTTTTAATTTACAACACGTTCTTTCTTTTTTTCTTTCTTTTTTTCTTTCTTTCTTTTTTCTTTTTTTTCTTTCTTTCTTTCTTTCTTTCTTTCTTTCTTTCTTTCTTTCTTTCTTTCTTTCTTTCAATCGTTCTTTCTTTCTTTCTTTCTTTCTTTCTTTCTTTTTCTTTTACATGTTCTTTCTTTCTTTCTTTCGTTCGTTATTTCTTTCTTTTTATTTTACGACATGTTCTTTCTTTCTGTTTTTTATTTCATGTTTTTTTTTTATTTCCGACACATTTCTTTCTTTCTTTCTTTCTTTCTTTCTTTCTTTCTTTCTTTCTTTCTTTCTTTCTTTCTTTCTTTGTAAGCAAAATATCTTTTTCTTCTGTTTTCTTTTTAATTATCTTTATTTTCTACTGTTCGATTTTTCTGCATTTTCATTTGTTTGCACTTTATTTTTCCATATTTGATTCCTTTCTTCATAACTGTCTTTCTTTTTAATGCAGTCCAAGAGTAATTTCTCTATATTGCTTACTCATTATGTTTTCATTGTTCTTTTTTTCTTTAATCGAAGCATTTTTTTGAATCAGTTCATCATATCTTGTTTTCTTTCTTTCATTTTTCTTTCTGTCTTAGTCAACTCACGCCCTTTTTTTTTTTCATTCATTTACTTTGCCATAATTATTATATTCTTCTTTTTTCTTCTTCTTTTTTTCTTTTGGCATACAGTTTAACACTATTTATCTATATTTCTGGGATGACGTATTGTATTTATTTATATTATTTACATTCTTCGGACTATTGTCCTCATCTTTAGTGCTATATTCACGACGCTTCGGCCGTTATAAAATCTATCCCGGTAGAAGAAGAAAAAGGTTCAGTTCAAAATTATAAAATAAAAAAACGTAACTGTTTAACACTAATTGAAAATTTTATTTTTTCTTTCTCTCGTTCTTTTCATTTTTTGTTATTTATTTTTAATTGACGATTATATCTGCTTATTCTTTTTTCGTTGCCTCTTTCTTTCATACACGAGAATAATTTTTTCTTACATAATTTTTCTCGTATTCTTCTTTACTTATCCTTTTATATTTTCCTTCATTTTTGCTTCATTCACCCTTTCATCACAGGATTTTTTCCCTTCATTCTCTGTTTTTTATTATATTATTTTTTCTTCCCCTTATTTTATTTCAGATATTTTTTTTTCATTTTTTTTCGTTATTTCTTTAAATTTTTATTTATTTATTTCCATTCGAGGCTTCATTTATTTCCGTTCTACTGTAGTTTTTAATTTTTATTTTTATTTGATTCTTTCTTTTTTTTTTCTATTTCTGTTCTACAGTTGTCCTTAACTTTCTTTCTACTCGAAAGATTTCTTTTTTTCTGTTTCTATTTCTGTTCTGTTATTCTTTTACCTTTCTTTCTTCCTTTCATTTGCTTCATGACTTCTCTTTTTAGTTTTTTTTTTATTTCTTTATTTTCTTCTTTCCTCTTTTAATATTTTTCTTTCATTTCCAATTTTATTCCACGTCTTTTTTTATCATTTGTCATTGATTTTTCGCTCTCTTTGTTTTTAACTTTCCGTTCTCTTATTTTTCCATTTCTTTTCTTTTTTCTTCTTTTTTCTACGCTTTCCTCTTCCTATCATGTCTCTTCACCACTTACTCATCACCCCACATATTCTTTCTTTATTCATCCCATAGCCTCTTCTTCGTTTTTTAATCTATGTTTACTCAATCTTTTCTTCTTCTCATCCTCCCCTTCCTTCCTTCCTTCCTTCCTTCCCTCCTTCCTTCCTTCCTTCCTTCCTTCCTTCCTTCCTTCCTTCCTTTCTTTCTTTCTTTCTTTCTTTCAATTTTCGTTTTCTCTGCATATGCTCTTGTCAAGACTCGGCATTTCACACAGTCTCCCTGTTTTAGAAGCTGACATCCATCAACCATTTTGCGAGTGAATTCGCTTCAAACTGTAATAGGCCTCCATATATTCTTCCTCTCTTCCTATTTGCCGACTGGAGACCAACTGTCAACCTGTCAACTACTCAATGAAGCCACTTCTCTCTACAGCGTGTATACGAGGCCAAAGCGATAGTTTTGAGAGGGTTTTTTTTTGTTATTTTTTGTAACGATGTTAGAGCTCACAGAGTCATTTAGACAGCTGCATAGGCAGAAGAAGTAGAAAAAAGATTTATTTTGTTACTGAAATGTGCAAGAGATGACTTACACGTCATACATCCCAGATATTAAAGCAGTTAACTACACACGCATGCGCTGAAACGCGCGGAAAATTAAAATCATTGAAAGATGTTAGTTGTGTAGTGACGTCAGAACATCCCGACTACAACATTTACAGCCAGCGCAAATATTTGAATTCTGCATTTGAGGTGGTGTATACGTTTCTGTTTGCAGCTGCAGGGAGTGAATAGAAACATTTAAAAACAATCTACATTTCATCTGATTTAAAAAGAAACTGTGTATTCTGCTACAGTGTATCGGTGGAATTTGTTTGAAAAGTAAAGTTTAGTTAACGGCTGGTGAGAGAAAGATCTCACGTAACATTTTGTGAAAAATGAAGTGTTTCGAAAATAATCCCCACACAGATTATCGCGATTATATAATCTGGACAAAAGAAGTATCTTTTGACTACTGCCATAATTTGATACTTAGGCTGCCCCAACGAATTTAAGCAGAAATCAAATGCAAAGAAGGCCACACAAAATATTTACCGGTAAATGAATAAGGAACAGAACCATATACAAATTTATAAATAAGATGCAGGCAATCCCTCATAAATTACTTGTTATTGTGTTGTTTTTAACTTTAAACAATAAAATGACAAGCTGTTTTTAACTTTTCTTAATGGCAGTGTATTGTTAGCTGGAGCTAGATATTACACACGTAGAAGCATGATTAAAAATCCTAGCGGTTTTAACATATCAGATCCTTACATAATGTAATGATAAAACTAAACATTTGCAAGAGCGGTAGCAGTAAATCGTAATCAGAGAAAAAAAAATGAGAAAAACGTATTGGTAATTTACAATCTCTTCAGAGATGAAGAACAAACTTGAAACAACAGAAGGACGCTGAAAATAACATGGGACCAACGACGATGTTCGAGAGATACTGGCAACAAAAAGGACACATAGGCTTAACAACAGGATGAGACAGTTGATAATTCTGGGTTGCATAAAGAAGAAAGAAGGATAGGAACATTTGATGTTGATATGTCCCGGAAAGGGATATATTTGAACGAAGTAGCTAAGTGGTTTCGGCTACTATAACCAAGTAGAATACGGTAGCAGTAATCGACTGGTACGCGTCGTAGTCGCAGGTAAGAAGTGTAGATCAATGGCGTAGTCCAATGGGCGTCGTTATAGACTTAACTCTCAGACTAAGGCTCTGGACTCTCGTACCTACACGTCCGTCGGTATTTATGACGGACACCAGCCAAACATATCCCAGTGAGGGGGAACACAGGTGTACGCATATTCCATTATATCAGATAGATAGATAGATAGATTCACACATACAAATAGATAGATACACATATTGATTGAGAGGTAGATATATGTCCCGGAATGGGGTATATTTGATCGAAGTAGCTAAGTTGTTTTGGCTACTATAACCAAGTAGAATACGCTAGCAGTAATCAACTGGTACGCATCGAAATCGCAGGTAAGAAGTGTAGATCAATGGCGTGGTCCAATGGGCGTCGTTATAGACTTAACTCTCAGACTAAGGCTCTGGACTCTCGTACCTACACGTCCGTCGGTATTTATGACGGACACCAGCCAAACATATCCCAGTGAGGGGGATACAGGTGTACGCATATTCCATTATATCAGATAGATAGATAGATAGATAGATAGATAGTTAGTTAGATAGATAGATAGATAGATAGATTCACACATACAAATAGATAGATACACATATTGATTGAGAGGTAGATATATGTCCCGGAATGGGGTATATTTGATCGAAGTAGCTAAGTTGTTTTGGCTACTATAACCAAGTAGAATACGCTAGCAGTAATCAACTGGTACGCATCGAAATCGCAGGTAAGAAGTGTAGATCAATGGCGTGGTCCAATGGGCGTCGTTATAGACTTAACTCTCAGACTAAGGCTCTTGACTCTCCTACACGTCCGTCGGTATTTATGACGGACACCAGCCAAACATATCCCAGTGAGGGGGAACATAGGTGTACGCATATTCTATTATATCAGATATTCACACTTTAGTTTCAAGGTAAGGAGGCTAGAGGAAATCAACGCACAACCAACCTGCCAAGCGTGAGCGAATGGATAGCGGATCAGGGTTTGGGAGAGATGGAAAAAAGGTAACAATTATTTAGAACTATAAAAGACAGGGAGTTATGAAGAGTCATGATCGCTAACTTCCTGAAGAGACACGGTACATAGAAGAAAAAGAATGGTGAAATTAGCTGTTTCCATAAAGGAAACACTCGGCTTTCATTGATCGTAAAACTTTACTCTTAGTTGAAATTTTTAATTTTTTTTTTTAAGTGCTTTCTTCTGTTACCCTTTTTTACTAGTGATGGGATTTTCCTTGCAATCCTTTTGTTTAAAATGTGGAAAGTTAATGTTATGGGGTCCACCCCTTTTTCATATTAGTGGACTCTACCAGTGTGTACGTGGACTGCTGCCGTTAAATACCCAGAGTCAGTCAGAGTAGAGAGATTGAGATTGTGATTGAGTTGGAGGTAGAGTAATAGTGTGAGGTAACCGCTTGTAGAAGTCACAGTTACAAGCACGTAGACTCTAAGGAAGTCCTACTTCGAGACTGGATTTAACAGACTGTGTATATATATTATTATTGCTACTAACCACGTTTCTGGATTTACTAACCGTATTACCAATTGTATTATTGCGTAAATATTTTATTTGTTATATTCCATTCCTGCGTTTGTCATTCATTGGAGACAGAATTTCATCTCGGAATCCATAACAGTTAATATTTTGATTACGTCATTATTTTAAATTTTAGTTAGGTGTTTTGTTGTTGTTGGAAGTCAGTTCTATGGGAGCCACAAGAATAGAGACTAAATTTGTGGATACCAGATTCTCATTTGACCACCAGAGAAAGCGATTAGGCATGTGAAAAAGCAGAATCATGAACAACAATAACAAAGTATACTATGGAAAATGGTCGATATTTGAGATATCCGGTGGCTCGACCCCAAATATCAGTTATCAGCTATCGCCTATTAATTCCCTTCTCCAAGTTGTCCACTGCCTTAACAGGGTATTGAACTCACACTCTTTGGGTCCTGTCACTGGATCTAACCAACGCCTTAATACACTGTGCCATGTGTCCTTGGAGAGGAAATTAAGCAGGAGATAACTGGTAACTGACATCCATTAGACATGGCACGTGGAACTAGAACAGTCTACCCCAGTAAGCGAAATAAAGGGTTCAGTTCGACATTCCAGCCCCCTGAAGAAGGCCGGAGCGTACAACGGCCGAAACGCTGTAATAAATATGGCGACAAAGATGAGGACAATAGTCCGAATATTGTAATTAGTGAACAATAGGTTTGATTTGGTTTTGTTTGTTTAACGTCATATTAACTATTTATGGGTCATTTCAAGCCAAAATTTAACTTTCTTAGGAGCTTTGGTAATTCTTTTCACAGTACTGTATTGCTGATAATTATTTTTTTTATTATAAAAAATTTAATGCTTGTATCCTAACTACAAAAACGTATTTTTTGTCTTTTCATAAAGTTTTGATCCCAGTTTAGGGGTTAACAATTTACTCATAGCTCGGATCAGAGAGAATCTGGGAACAAGAGCTATTAAGTTGTGGTTCCATGATCTACAAACCAGATGTAGTTAATCATCATATCCAGGACGAAATAAGCATAGAAATTTACATCATACTTGCTGTCACCTTATCATCGTTTTTCTGTTGTGAAAATGAAACAAAATAATATAAATAATCATATTTGCAATTGTCGTTCTCATATTTTATTCCATTGATAAGGATGTTTGTCATAATTATGCATAATTATAAGCATGGCATTGTGAATATTACGAACATTTTAATTCAAACTGGCTTCTTACCGAACATCAGTCAATAATGATTAATTTTGCCCTCACTTAATTATACGAAAAATATTCGTTTTGAAGCTTCACGTTTGCTTAATTAATAATCCTGCCTTGTGTTTCCCTTGTCGAATCACTAAGGATAAAAATGCGAACCTTCTCTAAGAGGAGCTGATTGTAGGAAGGGGCAAGAGGCTTTCGAAAGAGTTAAGTGCATTCGACTTTGAGAACGGCGTTTGTGCATTGCTCAACGGATCAATTATAAGAATAAGTACAAGAATTACTAAACGAAAACAGCATCATTAAATAAAAAAATCCATAACCTTTTTGAAAAAAAGATGGCTTTAACATCTCTTGGCTTCTACGCGAAACAGCCAGACTTAATAGAGTCCAGAAGCGATAACGCGGCCTTGTGAGGAATTAATTATTTTC